ATAATATCTAATAGATTTTAGATGAACAGTTTACTTTATTGGAAGAGGAGTACTCTTTCTCTAAAAGTTTTCGCTTAGAATATGAGATTAGAGGAAATTTCACTTTATACATAGAATATTTTTTTTGGATGTATAACTACAAATTAGCAGCTATAATCGATTTATCAAATACTTAGTTTGATATGGAAACCTCAAAAAAAAAAATTTCAGCACACATTATTATCAGCATTATTATCAGCGCAGGAAGTTACATTAGCAAAATGCCATGCTATATTGTTTAACTTCGCATTACTCGAAATGTGTACAGATAGATAAAATGTTAATATATGAAAAAAAATACTCAAGTGTATATATGTACATTTATGTGATGATATAGTACGCCCAATTTTAAGAAGAAGGAAGAAGTATAATTAAATGCTAAAATGTAAATCTTGAAAACATTTCAAAATGCTTGAAAGTAAAACGACATTGAAGAAGCAACTGTGTATGACGATGGTTGCGTTATAGCAAATGTCGGCTATTGTGTACATTATTGTCATTGCATAATGATGGGCTATTATAAATTACAAATAAACGATTTCGTAAATAATCATTGAAATTCGCCACTTAATAGTGGAGATAAGAGGGTTCATTATACAAGGGCCACTTTCTCCTCTATATAATCTTTCTTGCCCTTAAGTTCTTCAAATAATCTAAATAAACCAGTCATATTAATCAATCTTATAACAAGTTGCAAAGCTGCATTTTTTGTTGAACATAGTCATTGTTGCAGATCTTGCATGCAGGAAAAGCATTAGCCAATAAAGCTAAAATATAGCTTTGGTAACTAATTGTAAAATGTGTCCTTAAAATAGAGACAACTAATGTCGTTGGTGCCGAAGCTCAATTAATTAGTTATTAAAATATAGATGCTACAGAAAAAAATATTTGCTGCTAAAATCAAATGATATTTAGCTGGATCTACTATGCTATTTTATCTTCGTAATAGAGATTAATAAGATTTGCAGTATATAGCTCATATATTGCAAAATATAAATGCGAAATGCGCTACAGATATGCGGTGCCACATTGCAAAAAACAATTACAAATCAAATTTTCGCGCGTAGCTATATAAACTTATAGCTATACGTGCTAAATGTGTACATGATAAGACATTTAGGTACGCATCTTTTTAGCTGCTTGTACTAATATAAGCCTTTAATTTCAGCTAAATTTTTTTGCCACAGTGAACGTTTTTTATCTGTAATAGCCAGAACTTAGCAATGACACTAAGGCGATAGCTCTTATAGCTTAAGTTTGATTCAGCTATTGAGATTTAGCTATTATTATCAAGTCATTTTTTTTTGCGTGGTAGTAATATATATGTATGTATAATCTCAAGAATATTTCTAGAGGATGTTGGAGGAAAATCCGCCATGCGACGAATGATGTAAGTACTCGAATAAAATGTTGTAAGAAATGTGGGATTGATTGCCATGTAATTCTAAATAAAGCTTTGGTGAGAAAGGGGGTATGCTCGTCTGCAGTATACCTATACCGCTCTGCGAAGTAGCTTGCTACTACCAATCTGCTATCGATGCATCTTATTGTTGCATTTTTTCCGGACATTTACGGCATTCCGACTTTGACATTTAACAACTGCTCCCCGCTTATCGTTTTATAATAAATACTATTCTTGAAACCGGTTGAAACAGACGCAGATGTAGTAGTCAAGGCGTTCTTCTGTCCTCAATCCACACCACGATCAGCTAACATTATTTTTTCACATTTACTCTTCGAATATCCGGAATCATTACCGCAGATTACCTGGAGAATAATCGCTGAATGATCGTTGAAGACCGATTGAACGACTATCTTGAATTCGATACAAGTAAGCTTTAGTCAAATGCTCTGTTACGAAGTGCAATATAAACCGTTGCTCTTGCGTTGCAATATGTTATTGTACAGAGTTGAGTAAGTTATTTTTTCTTGTTATCTCTAAGTTACTCTAACTTATTGTTAGTTTTACAGGCCATTAACTGTAATGAAACTTTAAAAGAAAACACACAGTTGCTTTTTAAACAAATATACAATTTTTACATATTTTTTTGCAAAGCAACTCTGTGTTTTTTTTTACATCAATCGATTCATTTTATTACTTTGTTTATAAAAATATTAAGATATACCTAGTTATCAAGAAATCAATAGTTTACGAAATATTTCATATTTTATGTCGAAATATGGCAGAATAAAGTATTAAATATCTCGTAAAGTATTGATTTTTTGATAACTTTATCTTAATACTTCTACATGTAGAATAATCAAAGAAATCAGAAATCATATTATTTAAAAAAAAATGGAGTGACCTTCATGTGACCTCGAAAAATCAAGTTTTTGGGAAATCGATTTTATCATTATTTGTTCTCCTTCATATCCTACAACTTTTGTCTGAAACATTTTTTCGTATCTTGCGTATTTTTCAAGGTATTTATCTGAGGAAATTAAAATTAAACACCCTGTATGTGACAAATAATTAAATTAAATAACTAAGATCGGAAGAGCACACGTCTGAAC